ATGAAAATGTTAAAGAGAAGATGAATTTTATGTGTTTTGTGGGTAGTTATTTAGATAAAGCCATTAAACATCTTCACAAGATGCTGATACCACAGTGGTCCACTCACATCAGAAAGTGCTTAATACCTACTGCAGCTCATATTTTAGTTCATGTTTGAAACAGACACAAGGTATATGTTGGCCAACATGCAGGAATATGTTTATAAATTCTGAGCACTCCCACACGTTCAGCTGAGAATTGGTTTCATGATCTGCCACACACAGGCACCACTATCTGTTATGCTCTCTGCAGATTTGGCTCAATAGGTAATTCTCAATAGCACTTCAAAGATAACTTCTCTTGTTATTGGGTTCAAATATCAAAAAGAAAAGCTATCATCTAGAATAAAAGCACTGCTTTAATCCACTCTCTCACTGTCTCAGTCACACACAGAAAAAGAGAGAGGGTGAGACTTTATTTACTCCCGATGAAAATAAAATTTAAATGTTATCAGTTGTACCACCTGCGCAGTGCTGCTCTGACTCGAACTACAGATAAAACACATCAAACTTAATCCTGAGCATGAAATATTGCATGTATCACACAAACTCAGGCATACAGATAAACTAAAACTGTGTCTACAAACACTTGTACCTGTGAATTATTACTCTAATGGAGTGGGTTTTTAAGAGGACTTTTCTATGAGCAGCCAGACAAGAGGACTAGAAATCATCTGAAAATCTCATCTGGGGTCCTGATATTTGCACAGTTGGTGAAAGGAAAGGCTGGCACCAAGTGGGCACTTAAGATACTACAAAACCTTTAGACTTTTGGATGTGTCTGCATGCAAAATGCCTTTAATACTTAATTATTTTTTATGGCAAAGTATGAATTCAGTCATCACCCAGAATACATCATCTACTTGCATCCTCAACATAGTCCCTCATCCCAACACTGTAACGATATAAAAGCAAGAGCACACATGGCTCCATGCTTACTTAAATAGGCAGTCCTTAACAGGTGACCAGCTGACTTTGGGAAAGACAGGTACACCCTGGACAGGTCACCAGTCTATCACAGGGCTGTAGGCAAACAACCACACAGGCAAATTAGAGTTGCCAATCAACTTAGGCTGCATATCTTCGAACTGTGGGAGGAAGTGAGAGTACCCAGAAAGAACCCATGAATGTAAACTTCACACAGAAAGGCACCTGGTCAGGCCGGGCTCAAACCCAGAACCTACTTGCTGTGACCCTACTTGTATCGCCATGCCGCTGCCGCCCATCCTGTGGAATGCATAAATTAAATATTAGGTTATTCTGAACTGCAGGACTTCCACTGATGCCTTATGAAGCTCTGAACAAGGACAAACATTCCTCAGGTGTGTGCTCACCTGCTTCTTTATTACAGCCTTCTACACTTGACTACTTAACCTTTTAAATTTGAATAAGGTAAAGACAAATTTGAATAATACTTTTTTTGTCAATTAGATCCATAATTTCCCATTTAGCAGTTTCATAACTACAGGACGGGATGCATGGTTAGTGCTTTTATGGTGCAAGAATTTCAGTAATCACAGATTACAAAGTTGTTTATTGAACAAAAATGACAACTGACCTATAACGCACACATACGCTACATTTCATTCTTCAATGACACCAAAACTTCAGACGTTTCTAGATGAACCTGTCTGTAATGCACAGAAGAACTTGAAAAATCACTTTAAAAGACGAGTACACGAAGCATTTTTTCGATGCACACAGACACCGTCTTCCATTTAAACGGAAACACTGTAGCATCTTATTCTAAACGAAGGAAAAAAATGTTGTTTTTTTTATCGCTGGCTGCCCATCATGATCCATCTAGATGGATCCTTTGGTGACGTTTCAGGTTACATTTTTGGGTGAAGCGTTTTCCACATGCCACGCAGCAGTATGGTCTCTCTCCGGTGTGGACTCGTCGGTGGGCCTTGAGGTTGCTCAGCTTTGTGAAGCTGCGACCACAGAGGGAGCAGCAGAAAGGCCGCTCGCCAGTGTGAGTCTGCAGGTGGGCCTTCAGGTTGCTGGGGTGGGGGAAGCACTTCCCGCACTGGCCACAGCGCAGGGGGTGCCTGGGGTAAGAGTGAAGTTGAGAGTCTGGATGCGTTAAGGGGTGAGCGTGATGCAAGTTTGCCGACTGATGTTGGGTTTTGATGCTGAGCCATGGCACACCAGTCCGGTTAAGTGTAGTAGTTTGTTTGTCGCCCAGGTGAACTCGCTGAACTGAGAGCAGAGAAGGTGAAGTGGCTTTAGATGTGGAGGGCATTCTGTTGATTGCATTTACGGTCACAACTTGAGACTGAGCTACAGCCAGTGCTGTGGTGGTACTGTTCGTGTGTGTGTGAGGGGGCTTTTTCATTGGTCGGTGGAGGTGCTGTATAGCAGCCTGCAATCTGACACCTGTAGCCACCTTGGGATTCAGCCTCATAACCTCTTGCACAGTGGCTTTATGGGAAATGCAGTTCTGTTTGTGTGCTTCTAAACGCACCCTGTGCTGTTTTACTGAACATGAGAAAGAAGCCATTCCTGACTTTGTCATTTTCTTTTCTGTGTGCTCACTTTCCTCATACCCATCAGAATCAACAATAACTTCCTGCTTTATTGTCACACCCAGCACATCACTGTGCAGTATTGCCTTAGGGGACCCTGAACATGAAATCTGATCTCTGCCTGGGGGAACATCTGTTGTGACAGAGTTGGACAGTTTGTGCTCTGTATGCTTTAGAGGACCTTTAGTTTTGGCTGGATCACAGTCTTTGTCAGTTCCTAGTCGGTGATTCGACAGGAACGGGGCTGTTTTGACAGTCACACCAACCCAACTGCTGTCTAGTTTCAAGGATGAATTATGAGATTGATCTGTAGCCATGTGTGTGTCCTCCTGGTCTTTAAGAAAAACATTTACAGCAGGTATCGCTGGGTCTTGTTTAATGACATTCCTCAATAATTCCTCGTTGCTTTCTTGAGTCTGTTTTGACTGTGCCCCGGCCATCTCACCGCTACTGTGGAATTCAGGTCCTGCTTCACCTAGAATATGAATGGTAACAGACGTTAGATTAATGACTGCTTTTGTCAAGAGTTGGGTACCAAATAGCATGCTAGTTGCTTCCCCAGCTAATGAGGTCAGCCCGACATTTTGGTTCAAACCCTGCTTGTCACAGTATCATACACATTTAAATATTGTTTTACTAAAAACATCTATTCAAGAAAGCCAAACACAAATGCCTTGTCTATATAACAGCAATAATAAACCTGTTTTATTTATTACAAAAACTACAGCAGGGATATAATTATATAAAATGTTACTAGTAAGAGCAATTTATTTTCCAAAAAAGAGGCTTGCATGAGGCTATAAGCAACTTTTTATCCACAAGCAACAGTGGATTATGATCTCTAAGGTCCACAACTGTATCTACAAAGAAAATATAAATATTCCTTTATGTTGAGAGCAAAAGGCACCAAAGGAAAATAAATGAACAATTCCTAAATGTAGAGGGCAACAGGCACAAATTGAAAATAGTGAAAATATTCCTACATGGAGAGAGGAATATGCACATTTACATAGTTATTGTGAAAACAAAGAGACAAACAGTGGGTTACATTTTTCTAAAATAAAAAAATATATACAATAGGTATGCTATGAGGCTTGACTGTTGTAAGAAGATATAACGAGAAGATAATGATGGTTGGCTGGTCTAATGCACCCACAGAGACCATATACAGTTATATCTTGTAATTTCTCTATATCCAAAATTGGGTTCAAATGTTGGACTGGAGAAAAAAAAAAAAGACAACACTGTCCATGTCGCCATTTACTCAGCATGTGAGTATCTACAGACTGTGACAAAGCATACAGAGTGATCTGTCCTTGTAAATAATTCATTCTTAAGTACAACTAAAGCCGAAACTAACACAAAACAGTCCTAAAAGGTCTGACAGCTGACACTGGGCAAGGTACACCCTGGACAGGTTCTCAGTCTATCTGACATGTGTAGACACTCACCCTCACTCCTACAGATAATTTAGAGTCACCAGTCAACCTAAGCTGCATGTCTTTGGGAGGAAGCTGGGGGTACCCGGAGAGAACCCACGCAGGCACAGGTAGAACATGCAAACTCCGCACAGGAAGGCCCCGGGTCGGCTGGGACCCGAACCCAGAACCTTCTTGCTGTGAGGTGACAGCACTAACCACTGCATCGCTAAGCCGCCCTACTCTAGGGTTTTATCATTCTGAAATAATTACAGACTATTTGTGATTATGATGGGTGCAAAGCTGATCTAGAGGTACCCAAGATTAAACATTAAATGGCTGGAAATGAGCATGCTATGGGCTCTTTAACTGTAAACATAACAAATCGCTCTATCTGTAATACACTTACCATCGAGGGTACCACACCACCTTCCCAAAGACCCAGAAGAACAAGACAGCTGATTAACTACTTCTTCCTTCACATCCATAGCTGACAACACAATTTCTTCTTCAGTTGCCTAAAAAGCACAAGGAAGACAGCAGAAAATTCTGGGAATATATTTTCACCATGTTTTATTAGTTGCATGCTGTAAAATTTCACAGCAGATATGCATAAGGTCTTTCAGAACTACACTGATCTAGTATCGCTGACAGTCTGCAGTCACATGACCCACCTGTGGTATGCTTTCAAGACTGTGAGGATTGTCTGCTGCCTGTGATGACACTGAAATGACTTCCTGTCCAACACTTGTCGACCTTTCTGCTGAGCCACCCTCTTCTTTCATACCACTGCCCTTCAAAATGTCTGTGAAAAAACAAATACTTAAGTATTATAGGGCACCGTGGTTTTTAACCTTAGTAAATATCTGATCAATTTTAAAATTCCTTTTCTTACCATCCTTCTGTTCTGTGGGACTTTCTCTTGTATTTTCAGTGGACAGTTCTACATCATCTTTGGCACAATCAACACACCGTCCCATTTTCCCTGTTTCTTTCCCCTCTTGGGTACTTAGTTTCTTTTCAGCCCATTGCAACTGCGACCTCAGGGACTCCACCTCCTGCTTCCTGCGCTTCACCTCCTCCAAGAAGCCGTCTTCCACCAACCTGGTCACCTCATACATGGCTGTCTTTACCACAGTCTCCATCACATCTGAGAGTTGTGTCTGAAAAGTGACAATGAGGGCGTCCACGTCCGACATGATCGGTGTCCCCTGTCAACTAACTATTACACAAAGGAATTCCGTGGAAAAACGTTTCGAAATGACAGAGAATGAGACTATGCACCAAGCTGATTCCTTGTTTAATTCTACGACATATTGTTTACGTTATACATCGTTACAGCAGAACAGTATATATATATACATATATACACACATTCACTTGTTGCGGGTATTTCAGGTAATAACCAATGAGCAGATATTCAGTAAATTATGTCAGAAGGTTGAAATAACGATACCCAACTTGTTCTTTTACGGACAAGATTTCCCTTCATGAACTGTCAGCTAACATAACGCTAGTCGGCTGTGACTCCTTAGCTTAATGATAGCATAATGCTAACTAACATTAAACGTCAAACTGTCAACGTATCTCACATATAACTAAGAAGTGGGTGGACCATAACCTGACCTAACGTGTCGATCTATTTCAGCGTGTTTTAACAAGTAACAACGGTTTAGCTAAGCAAGTTCGTGTATGCTAATCATTTAACCAAGCTACATATCAAACAAATGCTTGTAGCCCTTGTTTTTGCACGTGATATCATTCATTGCGCAGTACGGTGGCCTAACCTGGGGTCTGTGAATAACAAAACGCGTTTTGATAAAGTGAAACCCATAGGCTGCCCCGAGCAGCTGCCCATTTGGCTCGAGTTCATTGTTCACAATTGGAATATACTGTAGCTCATCTGTAATACTTTATGGTTCCAATTTAGGAGAAATCGTGCCTGTTATTTAGAATGAGCTCAAATATTATTCTCCATCTTTTACACATCAAACAGGGCCCCTCTGTTATCATAGATATATTATACATTTTCCCCTTTGGTGAAATTTATCAGATTCCTTTTGCTTATCAGTTATGTTTTGTAGCTTGTGAATGACAATAGCCAGTGGCTAAGAGAAAAGAAAGTTCAATGTGTTTAGCTACATAGAAAAAATGGGGTTTTGACCAACATACTAACCCATGTATTTACAAGCTGCATGGAGTCTCATTGCAAGGGGACCAATTGTAATTACAATATAATGCTAGAACCTTAATATGTAAGTACATTTTATATATTTTGGAAGAAATATCAATATTTTGTAGATAGAAGTCATCTGTGGAAACCCTCGTTATGAGGTAACACACAACACATAGTATGTAGATGTTTTTAGAGGTCATTGACTTCATTTGCATTAGTTGGGCCTTTGAACTTTTAATAATAAAACCAAATATTATGCTTCTCAAGTCAGATGACCAAATTTTATTTCCTATTAAGGTTTATAAAAAAATTTCAAGTGAGTTCACTGAAAAAAATGCTAATTTAGAACAACTTGTGACTGAAATAGGATCAAAATGCATGACTTTGGCCTCAACTGAAATATTTATTGAAACATTTACAGACAAATAACCTTTGATAAAGCAATGAAGAACAAAAATCCAGGAATCACACATTTTTAGATTTATTTTGAATCTGTAATGTAATCACAAGGATCATGTTACTCAGCTTTTTAAAAAAGTATTTTTACAGCAAGACCAAGGTCCAGAACAATTAGCAATAAGCAAACTTACAAAGAACACACACTCACCAGCCATTTTATTAGGCACATCTGTACAATTGCATGCACTTCAATGCAACACTTTCACCTTAATGACTGCGTTTATGAAGCTCAAAATGTTTCAGTTTATTGGTGAAATTGTCATAAATGTATAAATTCAATAATATGTTTATTATTGAGGGCATGATTAAAGGTGGTGTTGTACTGGACTACATTATATTTAGAGGTCTTCCTAATATTCTGGCCTCCTCATGTACAGTATGTAACCAGGGAGGACAAAAATATAGACGCCTCTGAATGTAATGTACCACCTTTAACTATGATTTCAACAATAAACATGTAATTGAATTTATACATTTATGACAATTTCACAAAAACCCAAAACATTTTGAGCTTCGTTAAGGTGGAAGTGTTGCACTGAAGCGTATACAATTGTACAGATGTAATAAAGTGGTTGGTCAGTATAAATTCAAGTTTAGTCTGAGACACAATCCATTCAAGCCTAGTGGGGAAAATGCCACTGTTTGAATGTCTGGGGCTTCACTAGCTCTCTCTCTCTTGCTGTGTCATAGATCTCACAAACAAATTGTTTGTTGATTCACTGGAAGATGTGAACTGTCAAAGTTTTACTGTTTTCATCTCTATATTCTCAGTCTCTGTGCAAGTCAAATACAAGGGCCTCATGCTGGATTGGGGGAAAATGAACACATTTTTCTCTGTCCACTCATCTTTGAACAGTCAGTTTTCACTGTCAACTTTTCTTTTCTTTGCACATTTGGATAGTGACATCCTCACCACACTGGCACTGAAACATACACTGACAGAAGATGTTGAAGTCTCATTTCCTCATGACCAAAGGACAGAATGTGAACGCCTGTTAGCCGACCCTTGAGCTCTGTCACTTGTTGATGTTAAACGTCATATGCTCGCCGGCTATCAATCGTTGCCGTGACAATGTCAAACAGGAAACCAGCTACATGGACCCTTATTCTTGGGCCAGGGTTGCTGTAATGATTGCCAAATAGACTATATTCTAAAAAACTAACAATTTATTGATAACTATAAACCTTTTTCAATGTAGGAAACATACACTTCATTACATTGTATTATTGCATTCCTAATACGAGGTGTGGACTGGATCCCAACTGACTTGCCATCTGCTCTGGATCTGGACTGGAGTCTGGACTTTGAGATGCCCTGTTTTACAGTAACAAAATATTTAGCACTAAATAGGTACAAATAACACTTATTTTCTCAAACTCAATAAATGTGTCTTAAATTTTCATACCGATAAAAAGTTCTTGAATGAAAACCAGAAGATTTGGAAATGGAGAAAAAAATGACTCCGGGTCATCATGATCTTGGTGGACCATGGATCATAAATACAAACATTCATTTGTAAAAATTCTAATGTTACAAACAAATCCTAAATTATCTGATACACTTTTTTCCCAGACTTCCATAGTTTTAAAGATCTGTCATGTGTTTGCGTTGATGTGATTTCAGATGATCAAGGCGTTTGAAGCTCAGGCCACAGACAGCGCAGCAATATGGTCTTTCCCCAGTGTGTGTGCGCTGGTGAACCTTCAATATGTCCGCCCGCGTGAAGCTCTTGTCACACATGGTGCACCGGTGAGGTTTTTCCTGTGTGTGAATTCTCCGGTGCAACTTCAGATTCCAGAGTCGGCTGAACTTGTTCCCGCACACAGTGCAGCAGTAAGGCTTGTCACCTGTTTGGCCACATTTGTGTGTCTTTAGGTCAGAAAAGGAGGGAAAACCTTTACCGCAATGGCTGCAGAGGTGGAGCCCCTGCCCAGAGTGAATCCTCTGGTGGACTTTAAAGTTACAGGCCTGAGTGAAGGTCTTTCCACACTGGGTACAGGAATATGGGGGTCCTGGTCCGGTATCTTTGTGTGTTTGCTTGTGCGCTTTTAGTGAGGCAGAATCAAGGAAGGACAAGGAACACTGGTTACAGGGGTGTCTCCTCCCTCCTCTCCCTCCTGCCTGATTCTGCAATCTCTCTCCCAGGTTTAAGGTATCACTGTATGTATCTGAACGCCCATACATGTCTTCTGTGGTGTCTAAAGATGGGTCAGTTGAAATGCCCTGGCCCCGGAAGGTCAATCTGCTGCCTGATTGACCAGACACATGTTCAGGGTATAAGACACTGGGATCCTGTAGATATCCTTCTTCATTGATCAATAAACAGCTTAACTCTCCACTTACATCAATGTCAGTCCTTGAGTGGGAGCCTAAATGTGAACCAACTGCACCCCTTCTGTTCTGTAGGGTCCCTGTTTGGAAAATTTGATGCTCAGCTCCTTCATGTGCTTCCACATCCCCCTCATAAGGCTCCATGTAACTCAGATCCTCACCCAGGTGGGATGGTGACCCTTGTAAACCATCCAAATTACCCATTTCTATCATACTGGTGTCTCCATAGCTAGTTTTGTCAAAGCCACCCAAGTCTTCCATGCCATACCTGCTTTGGAAAAGAGGTTCAGATGGATCACTCGAGTGTCCATCTTGGTCTGGTCTCTGGTTAAAGCTAGCTTCCCAGTTCTCGTGGCATTTTGGGATCCTCTGGACACTGAAATATTTACTGGGCCCTGGCAGACCTGATGCACTTGTTTCTGACCAATGAAATAAGGAAAAGAAAGCGTTACAGTCATAGCATGTTGGTATCCTTGCACCTCACTAAAACAATGTTCTGATCTTGAAAAGTTTTTAAATGAATACTTCTTTTGGCATGCATACCTACATGGTTTTGGTTTGCCAGAACAAAACAATGAAGCTGTGAACAGTGCTGAGGTCTTGCTTATTCTACAAAAACAACCGTAACAAAAATATTCATGCCCCTTAGAAATTGTGATAAGTGGATTTTTGTGATATTTCAAGCAGAAAATTGTCTTCGTTTAGTATCACAGGTGTCCTCAATCTTATAGTCAGTTATTTACCTTGTAAATAACTGTAAGTAATCATTGTGCAGTGGTATCACTGTGTTCACCACAGTGAAAGTGATGGGCTTAAAAGGGTGTGTTGTGCCTGGTTCAGACTACATGATTTTTTTTGTCTGATAAGCAGGTCACTATTTCAGATTACACAATTACAGAGTCATTTGTCACCATTGTGAGGTGTGACTAAACAAACTCAATTTCTGCTGGGGAATTGTACTGACCAAGACAGCATATCTCAGATGCCTCAGTACTAAAACAGAGTCCAGTGTCCATTCTGTATAGAAACAGGAACTCAGCTTGGCTGTTGCATGCAGATGACCTCCAGTCCCTTGCAGCCTAGGTGCAACTCCAGTGGAGAAGAGTGAAACCAGATCACAAGCTGTCCCGACTTCTCAGGTTCATATAATATTGAATTAGATAGTTTAAACTATGCTACTTGATAGGAATGAGCTAAATACACCACAACTATGCATCCATTTAAACCACCCAAAATAACAAACCAAGGAAAAACCCAAAGAAAAAAAAAACAAAAGGTCTCCCTCCTATTCAGCACATAACAACTATCAGTCTCTGAGAGTTTTATAGCCAGTATATGGACCTGTCTGGTCTACTGGTACACAGCAATTTGAAACCAATATGAGAGATATAACTAGAGGAGGGGTGACATGCACGTTCACCCCTCTGTTTTCCCACGATGTGTTCCCCCCTTCAAAGCAGTGATGGACAAGTGCAGCCCTAAACATGCACTAAGCTCAGTCTTCTCCTCCCTGCCTCGTGGCTCGCTCCAGCAGGATGGAGGCTGCCCTTCTGGTCCCCAGACTGGCACACCACACCTGCTTTGCATCTCCTTACTAACTGTAAGGAGGCAAACTGAGAGAGCAACAAACCTGCTGATCCCTGTGCACTAATTACAACCTGCTGATCCAAGTGTTTTTCTTTTCTTCAGACTACCATCATATACTCTCTTGCACACACAGACTGTCACTCTGTGACACATTCTTGGATGAGGGATATGACAGACTATACGCTGGTACTCAACAGATTGCAGCCTGCCATCGTTGATGACTTGGAGATGCCAGGGAACGGGAGAATGTAATCACAGGATAGCATCTGTGGTGTGTGATACTGGCTGCTTGGGGCCCATAAAAGCATTAAAAAAAACAACAACAAAAAAAACTGTGGACCTGTCTATGGGTCATACGAAGAGGGCAACAGCCTATGTGTTGTCTGTCCTTCACAAAGAACTTGAGGTAGCAGTTAAAAATAAGTGGCTTGAAGTAGTAAAACCAAAAACTAGCTAGCTAGCCCTGATATATGCTAATGTTAACTGTAACACTATGATAGTTAATGAATATGGCTCAGTTCAATATGTCAAAAAATGTAACAGAAAAGCCATCTGCGCTTCTGTTGGTCAGTGGCAGCCCACCACATCACACACACACTGAAAAAAAATCTGACATGCTAGACTTAGTGTTCGGATCTTGTGAGGCGTCCCAGATCAGCATCGGTTGTCATTTACTGTGACACACTACATGAGATAAAACAATCGATTGTCATATTCAACACTGCTTGTCGGTTCCGATGCCCTGCGATCATCAGGTCGGGCTATTAAAGCTTAAATCGTGCAGTCTGAACCAGGCATTAAAGCTAAAAGCCCTACTGGTCATGGAATAACCATATATATATATGCACGCACACACACACACTGTTCCTTCACATTGAAAGGAGCCAGCTGGTTCGGGGCATCTTATCTGGATACCTCCAGTGCACCTCCCTTTGGAGGTCTTCTGGGCACATCCATCTGATAGGAAACCCCAGGGCAGACCCAGAACATGTTGGAAAGATTATATCTCTCATCTGGCCTGGGAATGCCTCGGAATCCTGCCAGAGGAGCTGGAACACGTCGCCAGGAAGAGGGATGTCTGGACTGCCTTACTGAACCTGATGCCACCGCGAGCTGACCCCGAATAGGCATCAGAAAATTGATGGATGGAAAACAAATGGATATTAAGTATAGACACAAGAAAGACACTCTGATTGCTTTACTGCTCTACAGTTGTATGTGGACTTATGCACGACTATTTTGGTTAATGCAATAATTTGTGAGAACTTAATTTCCATCCATCCATTCATTATCAGTACTGCTTATCCTGAAGAGGGTCGCGAGGGGAGGGGGCCGGAGCCAATCCCAGCTGACATTGTGTGAGAGGTGGGGTACACCCTGGACAGGATATTTCCGCATTCGGCTGGTCCTGTTAGGGGCTGCCAGAGTGAATCATCTGTTTCCACACTGACATTCACATGGTAGATTTGGCAAGTTTTTATGCCAGATTCCCTTTCTGATGCAATCCTCTCTATTTATCATCACAATCTATTAAGTTTATCAATCACAACTTATTAGTCACTCTATCAGTATGTGCATTGGAACTGACCATCTAAATTGACTCCCCATCTTTCTTGGGACTCATTTGTTTCTGGCGTGAACCGAAGGGCTTCCTTCTTAAGCAGTCTATCCAGCTTTTCACCTTGTACACCTGGACACTGGCAAACAAGCAGAATAAAAACATGAATATGGGACATTTAACACCTCATGAGAAGTCATATTTGTTATTAGATCAACAGGCAAGTTCAATTTAATGCAATCACATTAAAAATAATATTACATAGATAAAGTTAACAAAACAACAAGAAGAAGACCACTGACTCTACTTGCTAAATACAAATGGGAGGCAATTAAAGGAAAACCCTGAATAAATAAATGGTCTCTTCCAGGATGACAGTGTCCCCATCCATAGGACATGAGAGGCCACTGAATGATTTGATGAGAATGAGAATGATGTGAATCATATGCTATGACCTTCACAGTCACCAGATCTCAACCCAGTCAAACACCTACCTACCACCACCATCAAAACACCAAATGACAGATTATCTTTTAGAAGCATGTTGTTCAGCCCTCCAGTAGAGGCTAGAGACTTGGAGAGTCAATGCCAAGGTGCACTGACGATGTTCTGGTGGCCCTTGGTGGCTCAGCACCTTACTGAGATATTTTGTTGGTTCTTCCTTTCGTTTGCCACCCATCTGTATTTTAGACATTGTTGTAACCTTAACTTCAGATGCTCATATAATGTAAAAAAATGGCCCTCTACCTGTGTTGCCTTTGAGGCATTGTGGACCTCTGGTTTTACCTCCTCTCCTTCATGACCAGTTCTATCTGGATCAGTGGTCTGAGAGCTATTTATCTCTTCTTGCAACAGTCTCTCTTGTTTCAGACTTTTCTCTGTAATAGAAAAGGACAACATTTTTTAACTATGGTTAATCTATTCATCTTATAAACAATTTGCTAAGGCTCAGATGGGGCATTCTCCATTACAAAACTAAGAAAAATATTCACATTTAACGTTCCAGTGTCACAGCCCATACAAATGGCATGCTCAGTATGTTAAATGTAGATTTTTTGCTAAAATGCAAATAATTTAATACATTGCTTCGATCTTAATCCGGTTTGTGCATGTTAAAGCACCTGCCTCTGGTTCATACTCATCAGGGGTATCACCTTAAGGTACTTAACATGGCATTCATTATTTTGTAAACATTTGGGGCTAACAGAAACAACTGTCAACACAACATTTACTCCTTATATTATAGCAATCATGTTAGTAATCAGATTCCTTGTTACACATCCAGCAGATACAGGGGAACATTAACACAAACTCCTGTGTGAAATATCTGGATCATTGTCTGCTAGGCACAGGGACAGTTTCTTCCCCCAGGCTATCACTCTGATGAACAGTTAACCCACGACAGTATGACTGGACAATAACCCTCAGTGCAATACTGGTAAATACACATTGTACAGATTATACAGATTCATACAGGTCTCTAGTTTTAAGTACTCTGTTTTTATTCCTACTTATCTCATTTCAATGAGCATTCCCTTGTCTGTCTGCATTGTTTACTGCCTGTCTATATTGCTTATTTTGCATTGTATGCACTGGTTGTTGTTTGTTAATACTGTTTATCTTGTTATATTACACAGCCTTACGCTGGTTTACTGTTTACTTACCCCTTGCATGGGGATATGTACATACACACTGAGAGCCGATGTACCAGAGTCAAATTCCTCGTGTGTCCAACACACCTGGCCAATAAAGCAGATTCTGATTCTGCTAAACGGATTACTATGTCCACCAGCTAGTGGCTGTCTTTCTCTGTCTATTCTTTGTACTAGACAGATAGAGTTGGTTTATGTAAGCTTTTGGTGAGCTGCTGCCTAAAGCTGTTGAGCCTGTTATGGGCCTTAAAACCAAAAGAGTAAGCCACTTGAGAAGATGCTAAATTGCTCTGTAGAGTTGAGAAGAACTGCAGAGTTGGGTGTGAGTTTGTCACTGTAAGAGCATATGTAGCAATTTGACCCTCTGTTAATATAAATATGCAGATTTAAAGCTATTGCAGGGTAACATAACAGTTGATTTGTTATTGACTGGTATAAATATGTATTCTAGATTTTCCACATCTTTTTTACATCTAATTATTATGGAAGATACTCTAGGACTCCATCGCCTGTGATTTCCCTTTTTTGCAATTCAAACAGTTCAACCTGGTTAGGTAGTCAAGTTGCCTGGTAATGTAGGCTAGTTCATAAAGAAGCAGATGGGCGAATAGTCACCCAGTGACAAAATTAATGATGCTTGATTATTGAATATAGATGGATGACACCACAGGCTCACCTGTCGCTGTGTTTTTACCCTCTACGGACACACCGACTCTTCCGCACTCAACACATCTCCCCCTCCTGTCTCCCTCCCTCCGGTTCTCCGACCACTTCAGTCGCCTCTTCAGAGATTCGACTTGCTCTCTGCACCGTGTTACCTCTTCCAAAAAACTATCCTCCACCAGCCGGGTGATCTCAAACATGGCAGCCTTGAACACTGTCTCCATTACACCAGAAAGTTGGGACTGAAACGTTACTATAGTCTCGGCCATTGTGCTAAAAATTCGTGATAACCCTGAACAGTCTATTATTTCTAGTAAAAAAAATGAAGGCAGCTTTCGACTGCCACTTTTAAAGCAGTGATATTTATTGGTCAATAACGCTAACTGTGTAAATTTCTCAGAAATGGTTCTCAGTGTAATTCACGTTCAACTGCTGTACACATATATCTTTGTCCACATCTATCGTTTAATTATTTCCATCACAGCAAATCTGTCGGTGTTAGCCACCTACCTATCTGCACTAGTTTTGATTCAGTTAGCATTAACGTTACCGATTACGACCACTATCCGAGAGGAAATCATCAAAACCATGAAAAAACAATATTCAACATGCATATGCCTTGTGTTTAGTTAAAGCTGGGTTTGGCAGCACAAATACTGTCTTAGTTAAGCTGTTGTCTAACGTTATATGGAGCTTTAGCAGTCGTCTAGATTCCGTAAACAACCACACTTCCGAGATTTAAAATACGGGTCGTGAGTCGGGACAATCTTGATCGTTTGTACTGTAGCCTACTTACTGCCATAGTATATGCCATGTTTATTGTCTCGTTACCAGTAAATGGGCTATATTTAATGAAAAAAATAAATAAAATAAACAATTTGTGATTTAAGTGGGGCACCGGATATCCTACTCAACTTTCTTTTTTGGTTCAGTCGTCACAAAATAGAACTAGATGAAAGAGAAGGGAGAATTGGGAGAAGCTAATTGAAAAAGATACTTCATCAGTCAATGTATGACAATGTATGTCAATATAAACATAAGCAACAATAGCAGCAACAGAGTCAATAGCGAGAAAATACAGTAGGCTTAATAAATGGATAATATAGTTCCATGGTTGACACAGTAACAGATCAAAACACTTATGGAGGATGTAAGGTAGACTAATAAGAATGCTACCTTTTTGATGAAAGATGGAGGAAATATGTTAATAGAAGGGAAAGCTAAAACATCGGCAAAGCATTTGTTAGAGTACATAGTAATGAGTAAAAAAGAAGGAAAGAACAATATCAAGGAGCACTGATGACAAAGACAAAGTACACCACTTAAGTACAATTTTTGCGGTATCTGTACTTTACTTGAGTATTTTCATTTTCTGCTGCTTCATATTTAGACTTCACTACATTTTAGAGAAAAACATTGTACTTTGTACTCATTACATTTAGGCCTATTTTATAGCTTTAGTTACTAGTTGAGGCTGGAAATATGTGTTGTACTGTTTACATTCTCAGTTTGCACATGCATAATTGCACATTGACTGTTGAGTGTTGCACATGCTGCTCCCATGCAGCATACATTCTCTATTATATTCTTATATATTTTTGTTATATTGCTGCATTTGCGCTGCTTAAAGTGCCTTAGACTTTGTGTTACTTATTTATCTACTTTATATTTCACTTGTATTTTTGTGGCATTCATGTGGACGGCAAACTAAGAATTTCATTGTACAGGGAAACACGTTTCCTAACTGCACATATGACAATAAACACTTTAACCTTGACCTTGACCTTGACCTTTTCAAAATTAAAATAATTATACAAAATACAATATAATCATCTGGCTTTATTGATCCCTGGTGGAAATTTCACAAAACACTCAGCAGTGCTTCAAATTATAAGCATGTAAGGAAATGAACTCCATCTTTACTAGCTGCATCAATAAATGCGATGTGTCAATAAGTATAACATAATAATATGATATATATTGATATAGAATCTACTTTTCTGCATAAAGAGGACTTTTACTTTTGGTACTTTAAGTATATTTTGATGCCAGCATTTCTGTACTTTTACCTAAGTAACACTGTGAATGCAGAACTTGTAAGAGAGTATTTTTACATTATGGTATTGCTACTTCTACTGACGTAAACACTTTGACTATTTCTTCCACCACTGCCAGTAGGAATATAATAAATGTGATTTTTAAGATGACAGAATTAAATGATGCATTAAGGAAGTATGGGGGAATAACAACTCAAATATTTAGGAATTATTTGGCCTACTCAAATTGGGAAAATTATTGAAAACTGTAAAAAATTGAATGTTATGAGATGTTTGATGGGCAGAAAGTGGAGAACAAAGATACTTTTGAAATTTTTGGTTTAATCAGATCAGCTTTAGGCTGGCTGCATCATTTATAAATTAGCATCAGGGATGTTATTTAAAAAATTACATACACTTCCATATCCATCACTGAAACTTTGGTGCCATGAAAACAACTGCAGTTTTAGGTTTACAGGTGGAAATGACTGAAAGACCATTGGAAATCAGAAGAACTGAGCTAGCCTCAACAGCCTCAACCCTAACCCTTTTGAGCAAAGTGTAAGGGCTGTAATGAGAATCATCCCACTAAGAGTTGTTACCCTATCAGTGTGAGTGGATAAGCGATAGGAAACAGTAAATTAGACAGGGATATTGGGGATTTAATTATAAGTCCTAAGTCTCCTCTGTAGGCCAGTCCCACAATGGTTGTTGGTCAAGACGGACTGATCTGAACCTTTCAAAAAAGATTAAAGAACAAAAAATAAATAAATACTGTAAATAAATGGGTAGCCTACGTAGAAGAACATTATTCTGATTATATTATACAACATTATTCAAAAGAAGACATCATAAGATCAGATTTAGACACACTGCACTAAACAGTAGGCCTACACGCAAGG